GAGTCATTATCTCACAGAAAACCACATGCCTGCTCCACAGATCAGAAAAAAGGATAGAACTAAACCTATGTATGATTTAAAAAAATTAAATTTAAAACTCCAAACCAACTCCAAGTCATTAAGACAAGACCAGTTATAAAAGCCCATCTTCTAACGGGTGCTGGTGGCTCATGCCTATAATTCTAGCTATTCAGAGGCTGAGATCTGAGGATCATGGTTCAAAACCAGCCTGGGCAGAAAAGTCCATGAGTCCAATTAATCACCAGAAAACTGGAAGTGGTGCTGTGGCTCAAGTGGTAGAGCATTCTACTTGAGCTGAAGTGCTCAGGGACAGCACCTAGGCCCAGAGTTCAAGCCTCACAATCAACCAAAAAAACTAAGACCAAAACCAAAACAAAAACAAAAAAACCCCATCTTCCAACAGTATGTAAATGTTTTACTTGATGATAAAACCTTAGAAGAAAAAACAAACAACAAAATACCCAAACAAACAAAAACCCCCAAACCCAACAACAACTGCTAATTAGGGTGGGTGTAGAGTTGTACAACTATAATCCCCACTGCTTGGGTAGGAGGGTTGTCATCAGAGGCTGGATGGGGCAAAAGTGTGAAACTCTGCCTGGAAAATAAACTAAGAGCAACAGCAGTGGAGGTGTGCCTAAAGTGACAAAGCACTTGCTTAGCAAGCACAAATCCCCGAGTTTAGTCCCCATTATTACCCACAGAAGGAAAAGAAAACAAGAGAGAAAAGGAATCTTAGACCAAATATAGACAAGTAATATAAAAAAAGATACCTTCCATCAATGTGGTAAATGTCACACTGGGTGACACAACCTCAGAAGGATTTCTTTCAAGTTGGTAATAAAAAAGGATTGTCTCTATTACTGCTCTGATTTAATATGATACAGAGGTGCTAGTTCTTCCAGCAGGACTGCAAAATACATTTTAAAAACAGAAAAAAGAAGCAGGAAAGAAGAAGAAAGGATATAAAAACTCCAAAACAAAACAAAACTGCTGCTATTAACTTTCTTTTTTTATTTAAGAAAGTACTGGGGTTTAAACTCAGGGTCTCTTGTTTGCTGGGTTTGAACTCAGGTCCTTGTTCTTGTGGGCAGACACTCTATGATTGAGCCACATCTTCAGCCTGTTTCTGCATTAGTTACATTTGATGTAGGGTCTCCCTTCCTGACAAGGTGCATCTTCCTGTCTTTTAATTTCCTGCCATATCTGAAGTGTATGTATCTCCATGCCCAGAGTCTTCTGTTGTGATGGCATCTCATGGGCTTTTCAGCTGAAGCCGATCTGTGGAGACCTATCCAAGAAGGATAGATGGCCCCCTGCAGGTACCCAGGGCCTCAGAATGCTTTGCCATATCAGGAGAGGCTGTACAAAATGCCACATTCCATATAAGAAGGGGAAATACAGATGTGCATGCACATTCATGTTATCATATATATATATATATATATATATATATATAAAAGCACAGCTATAAGGTTCACTTTGAGAAGGTGGGGCAGACTCCTCCCCCCTCTTGGCTAAGTCTCTGGATCACCTAGAGGCAGTCACCTCTCCCTCTCTGAGGTCACATCCTGGACAGCCTCTGGTCACACCTCCCATCAGACTGTGGGAGGGTCCCAGACCCTGAGGTCACATCTACATCCAGTGAGCTCCTCCTCACACCTGGCCACACCTGGCTCTACCTTCTCCCTACCCCTTCCCTACTTAAACCCAGGTGGGACTTCAGCTCACCCCTTTTGGCCATGTGCTCTTCATCATTCACAGCAGTTTGGTAATAAAAGAAACTTCTCTTCCTGCTTGAATACAACTGGTGTTCTCTTTATCAGCTAACTATTTAAACCTACCTTCAAAAAGCAAAACCCTAACCAACAAGGTTACCCATGGGGAGCAGAGGACACAGGAGACAAAGATGAACATGAACTATGAACTTTTTTTTGTAATTTTGACTTGGTGATCATAAATTTGAAGTATTCTAAGTACAGGTATGAACTCAGGGCCTCACACTTTACCACTTGGGCCATGCTCTAACCATTTTTTTTTCTTCAGCCTGGACTGTGATCCTCATACTTAAAGCTTCCTTGTAGCTGGGACAACTTTTGTATATACTACAATACTTTGTTGACAAAGAGTCTAACCTACCTTAAGGTAAAATGATGCTTTAAAAGAATAAATACTGACAGGAAAAGCAACAGAACAAATTAAACCCCTTAAAATGAATGCACTTAATTCTGTATTGTTGATGATGCAACCCCACAAGGAAAGAATTACATTATGTGACTTGAAAACTCACTATTTTGATTCTGTATTCCAAGGACAAACACCGAAATTGCATTTGGCAGTTTACTCTTAATCATACCATTGAAGTGACAATTTGGGAACTCATAAGAAAAAGATAAAAGAAGTAATTAGGTTAGGGTTTCTAACTGCATTCTTACTGTAGGAGAAAAGATATTTAAAATATTAACTGGAGGATGATAATGTTGTTAGAACTAGAAATGTCCATGCGAACTTATGGTATTTTCCCCTGTCTCCTGGTGAGGTTTGAGCAATGCCCAGCTTGGAGCCATGAGCACCCCTCAGCGTCAGGTTATGGTCTTTAAATACTATTACAGGCACATGCCTGTAATCAGGAGGCTGAGATCTGAGGATTGTGGTTTGAAGCCAGCCCAGGCAGGACAGTCCATGAGAAAAAAAAGGCAGAAGTGGAGGCGTGGCTCAAATAGTAGAGTGCCAGCTTTGAGTGAAAAAGCTAAGCAAGAACTCAAGATCCTTCAAGCCCCAGTATTGGTGTACATGCTTATGTATCGTGCACACACAGAGAGACACACACACACACACACACACACACACAGAGATAAAGAAATGCCAGTTGATACTAAGTGAAACCAATGCCCAGGAAGGAAGAGCTTGTTGAGGCAGACATGAGGATCTTTGGATACCTCGCTGTACCAGAAAGCTAAGATATCACAGATTAGTGACTTATTTGTAAAAAGGCACAGGACAGGAAGAGCTGCCCAGGATAAAGACACAGAAACTTGGGGCCTAAAATGGATGATGACTGCAGCTGTCTGAAACACACTGAATATGTAAAAATATACACTGAATAGATTAAAAACACACTGAATAGATAAAAACCTATGCTTCTTCAACAATACTCAGGGATGGAGGGAGCAGGACAAAAGGAATGAGAAATGTGTTTATTAGCAAGAGAAGTAACGAGTGGATCAATTTCTTACTGTGATAATTGCTAATTAAAGAAGAAAGAATTAAGTATTTATTCTGCCTTGTGGGACTGGGGGTGGGGGTACCTAAATAGAATTGGGGGTAAAGGAATTTTTCCCCCACAGACTTCCAGTTATTAGATGAAGGAAGACTGAAAGTATGAGAACACTGTGTTTCTAATGTCCTAAGGAAATTGTTAATTCAGGTTTAAACCAGTGTGTGTGTGTGTGTGTGTGTGTGTGTGTGTGTGTGTGTGTGTGTGTGT